AAGTCTGCCGAAGAAGTGAGTATTCGAGTATATTTAATATTTTTCACTAAAATTTTCTCTACTTTTTAGCCATTGAGTATTTGAATCACTTTTGCTCAAGGTTTTTATTCTTGTTTATCTTTAGAGAACTTAAATGATATTTACCTTATCAGAGTGCTTTCTTGGTAAAGTTAACCTCATTACAAATGAGTTCTCAACTTACTGAATTTTATTATTCAATTCAATTTTTATGCTTTCTATATATAGTAAGGCAACAAACAAGAAATAAATTACGTCCTTTGCTGTAATTTTATAATCTTAAATGAATTACGGGTTTCTTATTAGGCTTTTGTTAATTTTCCAATGAAAATTCAATTAAATTTTGACTTCTTTTTTACTGATAAATTGTTCTTGCTGGCTCTTCATCGTATATTACCTATACGATTGGTTCATCTTCGTTTTTTGACCAGGTTTCCCATTTTCCTAATCGCCAACATTCTGGTCGAACTTGTGTTGAAGCTTCTATCAGCAGCTACAGCCCTAAGGCCCGATTCGACAACTCTCTTATCAGCGCAGCCACCGCTCGGAATCCTAATTTTGTGCCGAGGGCCACTATTCCTTCCGATTCCGACTTCCTCTGCGAGCATATGAGTCTTCCTGTCGATCTTTGCATGTCTGCAATGTGTTTAACAGTGGGGTCTGAATCTTTACGCATTGACGACTTTGCTGAATGTGAGGTAAATCGCGCAGGTTATCTAATGCTAACATCCTTTAAACAGTAATGCTATTACGAGTGGAGAATAAATAGCGACAATATCATATTAATGAAGACCATAATGTGGTATGGTCGCGGTCTCCTTTCGTTATATATAATTTGTTTTACCATGTTTTCGAAATTCGGTCATACTGTCAGTGGCCTAGAGGTACGCACCTTATCTAGAGTCCATAGTATCCATGATATTTTTTGGAGTCTGACCGTGAATTTACTACATTCTCAGACGTTTCGTTGACGGAATGTCTGCAAAACAATTGTGATATCTCTCCTGTCCTGGTGCATCACCTATTCTATATCCTAGCATCACACTTACAGTATAACAATTTATTGCTTGCTTATTTAAACCTAGTTTAGATGTGCCATTTTCAGCGGATTTAGTGAGACCTGTTCACCTTCCCTGCAGGCTTTTCTTCCAACTGTTGGGACTCCTGATCAGAGTCTGCAATCCTCTTCATCCACGTCTTTTCAGTCTCCTTTTTGCCCCATAGAATCCGTCTCTTATTTCTCTGTTTCATTGACTTCGCTCTTACCTTTCCACCATATCCGTGCTTCTCGAGACTTCATGTTCAGCACTTTTCCTCAAGTCTTTGATAGAGTATATATTCCAGCCCCCGAAAGTCTAGATTCTCAAGCTGGATGGAGAACTAACTTGACACTGCAGATCCCCTCATTGCTATCACTGCTAGGCATGTGCACTAAGTAAATCTCGGGATTAAGCCTTTACTCCACGAACCACGTCTATGATCAAACTTGTCTACTATTAATCGATTATCTCTGATTTTAGCCTCAGCTCTTGCGCTTCCATCAATAATTACAA